ACAGTGTGTTGCATAGTGTGAAGTTTTACATCAGTTGTTCTCTGTTGTCCTTTTAAATCCATGCTGATGTCAGGCTATTTTGAGGATCATGTTTGTCAGACTGTTAACAGTGAAAGTTCCCAGTGACCTTTGCACAGGACCTGTTTAAAAGTGAAATGTGTAATGTGTTCGATGTTAAAACGCATTGACAACACCAAAGGTTGATTCACTGTGGCGCTATGAAAACACAGCAATATTGGCTCAACCAATTATGTGAATTTGGGGGCGGGACTATCTGTTTATTCTGCCAATGACAGATGAGGGGATTTGTTTGTTTTTTCAATTCCATTTAGTCATGCTCGTGGAACAGAAATACATGTAAGCTTTAACCAAAATATCTTAAGATTAATCGTCAAAATAATGCCTTCTGACAGGTGGTATATTCACTGTGCTCAGATGCATCGCTACATGCTGACAGAATTAAATCCTCAGAAAATATTATCTTCTAAGTCTGTGGCATGCCAGAATTGGCCAGGTCGAAGAACTCAGAATTACTGTGAATGGAAAAGTGTGCTAAATTCATGTTAAATGTGGAAAAGGAACCTAAAATCCCTCTACTGTCAAGAGACGCTTCCTTTTTTTATTATATATATATTTTTTTTAATAAACTCAATCACCCAATTGGCTTTGAGGAATAAGCTTGATCCTGTTATTGGCCCAAATATGTCTTCCAGCTTAGCAGAGCAGCCATAACTCCTCATGAATCGTTGGGTTCTTGGAGCTGACAGCGTTCAGAGATACGTTTTTATAAATGAGGCACAGAAGGGAGTATAACTTTTGAAGCATTTAACTTCAGATTTTTTTTAATAGCTTTTTCAACACAACCTTTCTGGCCTCCTATGATGATTAGATGAGGATGATGAAGGATGTTTAAACACTGTGGAGATATTTCTACACTGTTTAATGCTGTTGAGCACAACAAATCACACATGTGCACACACACACACACACACACACACACACGTGCGCGCCCTGTACGGCTACTATTAAAGTACATTTCAATAGAGTAGAGTTGTAATAGCTGTAGAGTTGTTGCCAAAATTAAATACATAAGCAGATATTATATCATAGTAGATAAAAGCCTGGGAGTGTTAATGGCAAGTAAATGAGAAACCGGCTGCATAAGTATGGAGAAGGGGCAAAATCATTCAAAGGAAAAAAAGTAATTGATGACAAAGATTAATGATTTTCAGTTCTTCTCAGCAGCCAGAGTCTTGTTTCATAACGAGCACAATTTATTCACAGTGTACTTAATTTCTTTGAATAATCATGCAGAAACACAGTATAGAAGTCTTTATGTTCACAGTGGCCCTGTTGTCACAATTGTTTCTAATCCATAATTAAGAAATAAATGTAGATGGAGTGCTATAAATGTGTGTGATGTGAGTTAGGAATAGTTAATCATTGAAATTTCCAAGGAATTTATTTGAATACTCTTTTAAAATATAGTTATATATCTCAATGAGGTCCAATGTGTTACTTGCAGATTAGGGGTCTTCCTGCTACGAAGCAGACCCTCAGTCGGTGGATAGTTGATGCCATTACTATTGCCTACGAGTCCTCTGATCTCCCCTCGCCTCTGGGGGTCAAGGCTCACTCGACCCGAGGTATGGCGGCCTCCAAGGCCTTCTTGGCAGGTGTGTCCATGCAGGACATCTGCAACGCAGCGGGATGGTCCATGGCCCTCACGTTTGTCAGGTTCTATTGCCTAGATATGCGAGCCACTCCTGGCTCTTCTGTTCTCTCGTCCTTACGTAACCTGGAGACGTTCTCTTGGCTGTATTGGCAAAAACATTGACAGAAATTTAACTGATTGATTTCTGATTAATTTCTGATTGACAGATAGTGTCTAACTCTGCCAGTTGATATATTGCATGTCTTTATTTTTTATGTTATTAGTTTTGCAGTTGAGTGCCTTCTAAGCTGGGGTTGAGTAACATCTTTCAAGGTTACAGTACAGCTCCACACTACTGTTACTAGAGGAAAACTTCAACTTGTACTGTGGTAAGACACAATAATACAGTATACAACTCGGGTTCAGTCTTACTGTATGTGTAGTGTAAGAAAAATGTACAGATCACTCCAAGACAAAACATTCACAGATTGCATAATACTGACATATGAATACTGTACATTACAGGTAGCTTATGTTATGTACCCACTATCCAGTAGTTTGCATCACTTAATTCGGTAGCTATCATAATCTGCATCCGTATCATATAACTTTCAATTAATTTTAAGTAAGGTTATTTTGGCCTTTCACATTGTATTTTGTAATAAAACACAATTTAACGAAGTCCAATTCATCACCATTTAATAATGTGAACTACTTCACTATTAAACTACATTGACAGTGTGTTGCATAGTGTGAAGTTTTACATCAGTTGTTCTCTGTTGTCCTTTTAAATCCATGCTGATGTCAGGCTATTTTGAGGATCATGTTTGTCAGACTGTTAACAGTGAAAGTTCCCAGTGACCTTTGCACAGGACCTGTTTAAAAGTGAAATGTGTAATGTGTTCGATGTTAAAACGCATTGACAACACCAAAGGTTGATTCACTGTGGCGCTATGAAAACACAGCAATATTGGCTCAACCAATTATGTGAATTTGGGGGCGGGACTATCTGTTTATTCTGCCAATGACAGATGAGGGGATTTGTTTGTTTTTTCAATTCCATTTAGTCATGCTCGTGGAACAGAAATACATGTAAGCTTTAACCAAAATATCTTAAGATTAATCGTCAAAATAATGCCTTCTGACAGGTGGTATATTCACTGTGCTCAGATGCATCGCTACATGCTGACAGAATTAAATCCTCAGAAAATATTATCTTCTAAGTCTGTGGCATGCCAGAATTGGCCAGGTCGAAGAACTCAGAATTACTGTGAATGGAAAAGTGTGCTAAATTCATGTTAAATGTGGAAAAGGAACCTAAAATCCCTCTACTGTCAAGAGACGCTTCCTTTTTTTATTATATATATATTTTTTTTAATAAACTCAATCACCCAATTGGCTTTGAGGAATAAGCTTGATCCTGTTATTGGCCCAAATATGTCTTCCAGCTTAGCAGAGCAGCCATAACTCCTCATGAATCGTTGGGTTCTTGGAGCTGACAGCGTTCAGAGATACGTTTTTATAAATGAGGCACAGAAGGGAGTATAACTTTTGAAGCATTTAACTTCAGATTTTTTTTAATAGCTTTTTCAACACAACCTTTCTGGCCTCCTATGATGATTAGATGAGGATGATGAAGGATGTTTAAACACTGTGGAGATATTTCTACACTGTTTAATGCTGTTGAGCACAACAAATCACACATGTGCACACACACACACACACACACACACACACGTGCGCGCCCTGTACGGCTACTATTAAAGTACATTTCAATAGAGTAGAGTTGTAATAGCTGTAGAGTTGTTGCCAAAATTAAATACATAAGCAGATATTATATCATAGTAGATAAAAGCCTGGGAGTGTTAATGGCAAGTAAATGAGAAACCGGCTGCATAAGTATGGAGAAGGGGCAAAATCATTCAAAGGAAAAAAAGTAATTGATGACAAAGATTAATGATTTTCAGTTCTTCTCAGCAGCCAGAGTCTTGTTTCATAACGAGCACAATTTATTCACAGTGTACTTAATTTCTTTGAATAATCATGCAGAAACACAGTATAGAAGTCTTTATGTTCACAGTGGCCCTGTTGTCACAATTGTTTCTAATCCATAATTAAGAAATAAATGTAGATGGAGTGCTATAAATGTGTGTGATGTGAGTTAGGAATAGTTAATCATTGAAATTTCCAAGGAATTTATTTGAATACTCTTTTAAAATATAGTTATATATCTCAATGAGGTCCAATGTGTTACTTGCAGATTAATTGGTTCGGAAAATATTTCCTGAAGACAAGACATTTTTTGTACCTTGCTGTTAAGACTTTTCTCAGCAAAACAATTATTTTGCAGATGCACACACAAACACACACACACACACCCACACACGTGAGGTGTTTTTAGGTTTAATGTGTGTGTGCGTATCATAGATTTTTATACTGACCACCCCCTCCGACCACAAGTATGACAATACCTCAGCAGCGTCCACAAATTTCTCTCTTCTACTCTCTTTCTGATTTGTACTTACTTTCACTCTCAGTGGTCAATCTCAGTGTCTCAGTGCACAACTGAATGGACATTTACCACAAGAGCTCTGCGGCAACCTTGACAAACCATTCGTCTGTCTGAATTGCTCAAATACTTGAGGATATTAAAAAAAAATGCTCCAGCAATTCGATTTCTGTGGCAAGTTTTTGTGCTTTGACTAGTTAGTGTTGTTAATCACTCCGGTAAGTTGCTTTAATTGTTATTTCTTTAAGCTTTACTACTAAATTAATGATATTAAGGACAACAGCTCATCACCTTGACACACATTTTCTCCCTTATAGACATCCAGACAGATGCATTTGCATTTTCTGAGGATCATTTTTTAAAAGACATCATATAGCTCTACTATTCAATATTGTCTGCAAACTGATTCAGCTGCAGAAAGAAATACTCCACACCCGTTGTCTTTGTTGAAATCGTATGAAATGCTGCAATGGAAAGGCAATGGTCCTCTTTTCTATGGGCACAGAGGGGTGCACAGGAAGCAAAAGACCTTTATGACAAAAGGTCAATGGGTGTACTCAAGTCTCACTGACAATGTGCCTCAGCAAGCAAAACCCAACTATTCAGCTGAATCACTAAAAGATGCTCTGAAAAAAGCATTGCATATTGAAGCAGATTTTCATAAATGGAAAAACACTGCATTGTTTTATAATAATGCATTGACTTTGACACAGTATAATAACTTTATGTGTCACACTGACAACTTTAAATGAAGCACTGAAGTTATCAGAATGACAAATGCGTGAATGTGCGCAGCTGAACACATGCGGCGGAGAGCGGCGTTACGCACGGACTTACCCGAGGACCATTCGACTTCTGCGCTGAGGCTGGTGGCAGGCACATCATCAGTAGCGCGTGGGAATACAAGAATACAAAAAGGACCAGATTGTGGCAGTACATTCTGTTTGACGTTGAAGTATAAAGACAACTGACAGCTTACGGACAAGACAGGCTTAAGAATTGGCAGTGGTCCCAAAGTTGCAGGAAATTCCAAAAGTTTGTTTCCAAATAAATTCGTCCTCAGCGGGTTTCTTCTTTACATGTGTCCGTTTTCATAATGTCAGAGAGTACGCAGACAAGATGATGAAAATCGTAATGATGCACTCTTTCCACGGCGTGGGATGTACTGTCCTTTCCAAAGCTGCAGTTTGAATAGTTTGTCTTTCACTTTGGGACGCGTTTAAAACCTAAGGAGGTGGGATTGTTTGGCGTGATTGACAGAGGGGACGTCCAATGATTATGGACGTTGACTAAAATGGGGTTGGGTGGGGGTTGCAAAAGTCCGCAGATTAATCATCAGTCCACTTGGTTACCGAAAGAGTAATGACGCACAAACCTTTATGACTGTCTTTAACTCAACTCTCCTACGAAACATTTTACAACTTATTTCTTTTTAATGGGTGTTTAATTGGCGTAAAAAGTGTTTGTTTATTTGTTTGTTTTATATTATTATTATTATTATTTGTATTATTATTATTATTATTAATTCAATTTCATTAAATGTGTATGAGAAAGACAGGGAAAGTAAAATTATATATATATATATATATCTTAGAAATATTAATATTTCTGTCCAAAGGCATGCACAGGAGACAGACAGACAGTCAGACAGACGGACAGAGAGAGAGAAAGAGGTAGATAGATAGATAGATAGATAGGGTTACACTTTATTTCGATAGTCCATGCACTTTAGACATTCTACTAACTATAAGTAACTTTGTAACTACATGTCAACTACATGTCAACTAATTCTCATTAATTTGCAACTACATGTCTACTAACTCTCAGAGTAGACTGTTAGGGTAGGTTTAGGGTTAGTAGAATAAGTTGACAAAGAAAGTGTTAGAAGATATTAAGCAGACAGTCTACTAATACTCTACTAACTGCTAGTTGACATGTAGTTGCAAAGTTAATTTTGCTGTTAATAGAATGTCTAAAGTGGACTATCGAAATAAAGTGTTACCATAGATAGATAGATAGATAGATAGATAGTTTTATTTTTTTTTTTTAATTTGTCTGTAAAATTAAATCTGAATCACTTTCCACTTTCTTCTCAATAATTGTATTCTACCCTTTGTTCAAATTAATTTTAAGGAGAAAAGGAGAGAAAGAGAGGCAAAACTCTGACTAGCAGGGCTCAGGACTGCCTCCATGCGGTACAGCTAGCATTGATGGTTATGAGGGGTGTACATTGATGTGCCATTAGGTTTCCATTCGAATCGCTCCCCGGGATTCGGTTATGCTGCAGCGTTCTACACCGTGCCAGCTGGTCTCTGCCTGGCCGGAACTGTGTGAAGTTCTTCTGGGGGAGGGGTGGGGTGGACAGGAGTGTCTAATGGAATGTTAACGAGATCACTTTATGTCCTGTATCCACTTTCCTCCTGCCCGCTCCTTTAACCATGTCCTCCGACAAAACAAAGCCGCTTTCTGGCGTGTGACAAAAATTGTTGTTGGAGAAACGTTGACCAACACAGACGGCTGTTGTCACTTGGCTGAACTTGAAACAAATGTTTGACAAGGGCCAGAGAGAAAGGAGAGGGTGAACAAGCTGAAAAAGGGCGGTGCTGCCCAATTATCACACCGACCCTTTTCCACAGATCCTCGATTGCGGTTCACTGTCTGTTTATAGCAAGCAAAGCCGACAGAAAATTAGCAGGTGTCTGTAGACAAGACCAGCCAGCCTAAACTAGCGGGCACCCCGCCGACTCCAACACAATTATTGCCAGGCTATGCACATTTAGTGGCTTTAATCAACGCATCAGTACAGAGAGCTCTCTCCCCCCACCCTTATCTTATTATGATGTCTAAGATAACCATGACAGGCCCGCTTCACGTTAAGTGTCCTTAATACCTTTGTACTTTAAACTGTGTGGTTCTAACTGCTGTTAAACCCATTTACAGCTTTTATAATTAGACATCTGGACCACGCTTTATTGTGGTTTTACCAGCTTTCAGAGAAGGTAAAGTTTCAACTCTAGTCCTGAGCGATTCCTTCAGCTAATGTCTTTGACAGCAATTGTCTTCTTCAAGGCATACATATCCTCACCAGATGTCTAATTAATCTACAAAATATTTTTTCTGTTTCTTTTCAGAAATGTATGGTTTTACTATGAGTGTCAAAAAGAAATTAATGAACTCAGTGGAGCTTTCTTTCTTTCATTCTTGTGTGTGTGTGTGTGTGTGTGTGTGTGTGTTTATGTGTATGTGTGTGTGTGTGTGTGTTTAAACCTTTTGGCAGTACTTCAAAAAAAAAAGTGTATTTTAACTTTTCACTGGCCCATTCACTTTGGTTTTAAGTGCCTCAATTTTCATTTATTTATTTATTTTTTTGATAATAAATAAGGAATAAGTGTTTTTTTGGTGGGGGGGTAACACTTTATTTTAAGTTGTCTTGGTTCACATGTTACGTGTACTTACTATTATAATAACAATTAATTATGCATAATTACTTGTAAGTAACCCTAAACCAAACCCTAATCCTAACCCTAACCATATAGTAAGTGCATGTAGTTAATTAATATTACTCAGTACTTAAATGTATAATTACACTGTAACAAGGACACCTTAAAATAAAGTGTAACTTTTTTTTTTTTTGTAGTTAACATGCAACAAATGCTCTTGATTGAGCTTATCCAGCAATATTCCTTTAAGTTTATAGAATTACAAAATTAATGGGTACACATTATTTTAAGGTGACAGTAACATGTTACTTGTACTTACTATAGTAACAGTAAATGATGCATAATTACAACCAGTTAACCCTAAACCAAACCCTATCCTTAACTTTATAGTTAGTACATGTTGTTAATGAAGAATACTCAGTACTCTTATTTGTGTAACTACTACATGGGTAAATACACTGTAACAAAGTCACCTTAAAATAAAGTGTAATCAATTAATCGGAATAAATAATGTGAATAGTTATGACTAAGATACCTAGTTATTGGATGAGAAATACTGAAGTTTGTACTGACATCTCAGACTTCTTGGACAATCTGTCCTGAAACTGCAAAGAGGAGACCGTGTTCTTTTTTCTCAGGAGAAAAACCTGAAGTAGAAGTCTATATTTTGTCTTAGTGTAATCTCAATGGGAAACAATTGAGATCGGATTTGTGATTGCATATTGCACAATTGTGCATATTGTGTATTCCTAGTCGCTTGGTTTGTGTCTCAATACTTCAAGATGAAACATTGTGAGTTTAGGGACTGATACAAGACATTTCAGATCTGAGGATTGCTCAATACATCTTTGTCCATATTTCTCACAAGTACCTGTTTGACCTAATCGTGGAAGAATGAAGAAAAGAGATGGACAGAGAGAGGACTTCAAACAAGAGAATGTGAGGTCAGATGCAGAGCCCTTTCACTTTAAAATCCCTCATCTGGCTTTCATTTGTTGGATTCCATGTCTTTTACATGTACTGGCTGCAGTTTTCACAAGCTCCCGTATCTGGAGGAGTAACGTGATTACAGGCCTGGCCAAAGAGTTCAGATGGTCCAGTCAATGACTTTTTTTTTGTTTTTTTTACACCTTCTTTGGAGTCATCTTTAAAGGATACCTCTCAACACACACACCCTCTGTTGGGGCCCCAGACCCTTCCTGGGCCCTTATGAGTGCCTAATTGAGCATACCACCTTCCTGATTGAATTAACAGCTTGGTCCCAGGGACCTTCACCCCACCGGAGAGGGGGGATTCACTCCCTCTGTGCCAGCCCGATGGAGGAGGGGGGGAAGGAGCAAGGGGTCGAGAGCGCAGAGTTGTCAAAATGTCAGCAAAGCGTGGCCCTTGCTGTTGGCAAAACCAAGCTAGAAATGTGAACTGGGGGCATTCAGAGGTCCCGGTCTTCGCAAGGACAGGCCTGCCAGGTGGGTGGGTGCGGGGGAAAAAAAAAAAAATAAATAAATAAAATAAAATAAAATAATATTTTGTATAAAGAGATGGGGTTGTTAGGACTAATGTTTTTTTTGCAGTCAACATTATTTTCATGGCAATGATTTTGTGTTGAAATTTATATAGTATGAATACATGCGTTGTGACATTCATTTTTTAAAAGTACAGATATTATATGTATTCTTGCAATTAATATGAGCTGCAGTATAAAAAAGGCATAATTCAAAATAATACATAATTCTAAAATAATTAAATACTGTTTTTATATTAAATTTTATATTTCATACACCATGTCACACCAAGTAACATGTCAACTTTTATTTAATGTAATTTACTAATAAATTAAAGGCAGTACAAGAAATACTACCATGATATACCCTTCATTTTTAAGGAAATTAATGCTTTCATTCAGCAAGGACACATTAATTTAATCAAAAGTGACAGTAAAGATTTTTTTCTAAGTCAAATAAATGCTGTCCTTTAGAACTTACTATTCATAATAGAATACTGAAAAACAAAATGTATAACAATTTCTACAAAAAAATTATGCAGCACAACTGTTTTCAACATTTATATTAACACAACGTTTAAATTGAAATATATCAAAATGTCTGTTTTTTTTATTTTCTTACATTATTGTTCAAACACATTTATATATATATATATATATATTCATTCGAGGTGGAGGCAGCTTCGGTTCCTTTGCTGTCAATAAGACAAAATATACCTTACAGTGTAAATTAATATCTGAAGGGAACTTGGTCCTTGAAGACAAATCAAATCCCAATAAGCTTCTACAAATAATTATCCAACTGCAGAAGACTTCACTTCAGCTGGGGTTTGTTGGTTACTTTTTATCCAGAATAAAGTCCTATGAGGAAAGAGATCATGCTCTAACGTAATAATTAAATTCATATGTTTACCAAAAACTGTGTATCAATTTATATAGTATTGAGCAAAGCCAGATTATCCATCCACAATGCACCAATTATAAAATCCAGTAAACTAAATTTGAGTCAAATGAATTGAAATTAGCCTTTGATTACTGGATCATGTGCATAATCAAAGTTTAAACATGAGGATTCTACAAAATCGTGCCATTACACTCCAGTATGTCAGGTTTCTATATTCCACTATCTGTTAGCAGTAATTTAGACATGACATCATCATGGTTCATGAAGGAGATGTCATTCCATCAGCTAATAGTGCTCATAACTGAAATGCAATCCAGATGAAAAAAAAAAAATGT